GTGTGTGTGTGTGTGTGTGTGTGTGTGTGTGTGTGTGTGTGTGTGTGCAGTGGTCCCCAACCACCGGGCCACGGACCGGTACCGGGCCGTGGGTCATTTGGTACCGGGCCGCACAGACAGAATAAATATTATATTATTTCTGTTTTATTGATTATCAGAATCTGAAAGAAGTTTTATTTTGAAAAATGACCGGATTCTCTCGCAATCTCATCCGCCTGTGCCTCTTGACATGTCAAGACGCTCGTCTCGGTCACGTTACCTCAAACATTAAGCCCACAAACTAGCGAAAATGAGTGAATAACTTTTGGAGAGCTTCTTTGCAAAGAGGAAAGGCCACTAGAGACAGAAGAAGAGCTACAACTTCCAAGAACATGAAAGCTTCATTTAACAGACATCAGGAGTCTGATTAAATATCAGGAGTAATTCTGACGCGCCAAACCCGCTCTGCAGAACATGTGGCGACACAGGAAGATCAGCTGCTTTCTTTGTGTGTGCATGTGCATAACATGTGCCTGAATGAAAACACAACGCAAAGAGAGAGTACACAACTGCTACATGTACTTGCAGTACTGTCACTGACCAGCAGGGAGAGCATCTGCAGCATGGTGATCTGAGCGTTGACCAAATACGCCAGGAAGTAGATGAAGGAGGAAACACCGAGCCAGTAACCGAAACAAGTTCCTATCGCTGTTCCCATCAGGGTCCCCTCTCTCTGAGAGACAGACAGACAGACAGAGACAGAGAGGGAGACAGACAGACAGAGAGAGAGGGAGACAGACAGGGAGACAGAGAGGGAGACAGACAGACAGAGAGGGAGACAGACAGAGAGGGAGACAGAGAGGGAGACAGACAGACAGAGAGAGAGGGAGACAGACAGACAGAGAGACAGACAGACAGAGAGGGAGACAGACAGACAGAGAGAGAGGGAGACAGACAGACAGAGAGACAGACAGACAGAGAGAGAGGGAGACAGACAGACAGAGAGAGAGGGAGACAGACAGACAGACAGAGAGGGAGACAGACAGACAGAGAGAGAGGGAGACAGACAGACAGAGAGACAGACAGACAGACAGGGAGACAGACAGACAGAGAGACAGGGAGACAGACAGACAGAGAGAGAGGGAGACAGACAGACAGAGAGA